AATAATAATAAATATTTTGTCAGACGCAGAAGATCCAAATGTAACTGTACCTACACCTGCTGATGCACGTAGGTTTATTAAAGTCATTTTTTAGGAGGACTTGGGACCACCACATGACTGAAAAACCCATGTAAACCATCACCTGAACTCCAACCTATACCCCAAAACAGTTGTCATGGCGGATATAACTGTATAACCCTATAGATGACCAGACCAACACAATACCATCAATGCATAATAACTGCAAAATAACTCGCATCACAATTTGCTAGTCATCCAGCTAGGTACTCTTATCTTATCCTCAGACTCAACCTCTTAAGACTCATAATTGTCATAATTGGAGAAAGCACACCCGGTTTCCCTAGCGTAAAGAATGGGTCAAATTCAGAGGAAACATTTCCCTAATGAGTCCATATGCCCCAGCCTGAAACTTAAAACTAGGTCATAAAAATTGCAGGCTCTTTGTTTGACTGAGACAGAGATTGAAATGGATAAATAACGCATTTATTACAATAGACACCATTAGCAGACGCCCAGTAACTCTCCAGCACATTTTAGTGATTCCCTCTAATTGCTTCTTCCAGATAAACACATAAATTCTTCACATTGTGTGCAGTAAACAGTTACTCCGCGAACATGGAAAGCCCCATTCATCCCCGGCTTTTCACTACTTCCTGCTTGTATGCCAGGTACAGCATGTGTGTGATCCCCTCTTTCCCCCCTTTACTGCCCATGTTACTGCCCATATTTTTTAACTGCTCTAGTAAAGGAGTATTACGGCCTTCAAGTCGAGCCAGCCACGCACCTTGGATGGATTAAGAAGCTGTTTAGTTTTATGTACCAGCGGATAAATAGCAGTGTAAAATGGTCCTCTTGGTTGGTTGTGCATGCTGTACATACTATACATTTTCACATAAATGCAGCCACATGGAAATGGGAACGTCCACACAAAAAACAGAAGAGGGGAAGAGCAATACAAAGGTTGGGGATAAAAACATCTTTTTACAATCTAATTGTTCTATCCAAAACAAGATAAAGGCAGTAGTTATTTTTTATGGAAGGAATACAATTATGCAACTATTTTAATGCTTTTTTTTTTTTTTTTAAATGTCCTACCTCTGCTCTAGACCAGTTTTCCAGATTAGGAATTGTTATGGAAAAACATGCATAATCCCAAAAAGTGAGAGCAAATTGCTCATTATTATTATTATATATATATATATATATATTTTTTTTTTTTACATGAAAATGGTATAGAACAGTATCCAGATGGTCTAATTCATGATTTTCAAAATGTATCTAGATTTTTTATTTGATTCTATTATAATTTTTTTTTATGGGTTTCACTATTGATTTTGTGAAGATACAAACAAAACACAAACAAAATGAGTCCGAAGTATTCCTCCGGAGTCCAAACTCTCTGGCTTTACTGGCTGTGGGACTGGCTGTGAACCTCTTGATTAGAAAGCCCCAAGCATATCACTGACGATTAGACATGCCTGGATTTCGATTAAAAACTGATTAATTGCCCAGGCCTAGTATTTAATGTAACATATTTAATAGAACCAATCTACCATGACTTTCATTCATTATCGTTCAAGCTGTCGTACTTAGGCTTAATTCATTTTAGGATCCCCCGAGGACCCACTGTGAAACTTTGGAGACTTTTGGAACAGTTATTTTAGTAATTGACAAGTCAGCGATTATTTGTATTGTACATTTAGTAGACTTTTTAAATGCATTTTTTAATCAGATAGTGTAAATATGCTGACTGAAAGTGTATTATTAATGAAAAATGTTAAATTATTTATTCTTTTTTAACATTTGATTTAAAGATGCATTGTGTAACTTTTTGGTTATGTGTCTGTCAAATGCTTGTTTCCATGGATATGTCATTGCTTTGGCTGGAATGTTCCTTAGTATGGCATTAAACAGCTTCAATTTACATTTATTCAATTAGAGGTGGCTTTATAGCTCAAACATACTGAGAACAACAGGCATTCTGACTGTGAGCGGGGTCGCCTCTCCACAGATTTGACCTATAACCTGGTCTGGTCTCCATGAAGATGGAAAGGTTTAAAGCTATACTGTGAAATATTCCAGACATAGCAATAACATCCCAACGGAGACAAGCATTTGAAGGACCCTCCACCAGAGAAGTAGCACAATACACCTTTAATAATGGCACTGGTCTTTGTTATATATGCTATATGATCCTACATAAATTGACACTGTGAGCTTGACTCTGTGCATTAAGCCCATAATCTCCCCTCTCTCCTCTCCCGTGTGTAGAGTGGACTCACGCTGCCAGGCAACACAGGGGAGCCCCCGGAGACAGCAGCCAACCCTGCAGTCTGTAAGCACTCACACCAAGCAGTTCCATTCATTTCCTATTGTCTCTATATCTCTTTGTCACTGTGTAAGAGACCCCTGTGACCCGCTACAGTGTCCTGCCAACTCAGCCCCACGACGGCCGCCTCAAACCAGATCATTCCAGTTTACGGTAGACTCAGCGTTCACAGAAGGGCTGAGAGAGTCCCACAGACAGAAATATAAGACTCTGAGGTGGTGGGTCTGATGAGTAATGTAGAGCGAGCAGGTATAAGCCAGTCCAGTCCCATCCATAAATGATTTAGGTCAACAAGGTGAACTCAACTCAACAAAGTATATTTTATTGTAACTTAATACTTTCAAGTCATGACATTATTATTATCATTATTATTTTTGTATGTATGTATGAATAAGTCACCATATTTGAACCTTTATTTTATTTAGTTAAGCTTTTAAGAATCTCAATGTACAATAAAAAAAAAAAAAAAAAAAATCTGTTAAGGTGCACTATGTAACTTTTTGTTGGGGTTGGGGGTCCGTCACCTGTTTATATGTCACTGCTCTGCTTGGAATGTTCCACAGTATAATATTAAACAGCTCTACCTTACATGTATTCAGTTGCAAGTGGTTTTATAGCTCAAAAACACCAAGAAAAACAGGGATTCTGATTGTGACTGGGGTTGTCTCTCCACAGATCTGACCTGTAACTTGTTCTGGTTTGGTTTCCATGAAGATAGAAAGCTTTAATACCATACTGTGAAACATTCCAGACAAAGCAATGATATCTTCATGGAGAAAAGCATTTGACGAACTCTCCATTAGAGAACTTACACAATGCACCTTTAACTAGTCACTAAATCTACTAATCAGGAAAAAAAAGCTGATCAGCCAACTTTTCTTATTAGTTGCCGCCTTTCTATCAATTGAAATGTTTCATCTGCGTTCATCTCTCTATATTGAATCACTCCTGGGCAAATAAAGGACTACACAGTCTCGTGGGTACTTAAAGAAGCATATAACCTTTTGGTTGATTGTCTGTCACCTGCTTGTTTCTATAGATATATCATTGATCTGCCTGGAATGTTCCACAATATGACATTAACCAGATCTACCTTACATTTATTCAAGTACAGGTGGTTTTACAGCCAAAAAATACCTAGATAAACATTCTGACATTCTCACTATGAGCGGGGTTGCCTCTCCACTGATCTGACCAGTAACTTGGTCTGGTTTGGTGACAATGATGATAGAAAAGTTTAAAACCATACTGTGAAACATTCCAGACAAATCAAAAACATCTCCATGGAGAAATGCATTTGACGGACACTCATGCATCTTTAAGGCTCTACTGTAATAACCACCAAGAGTTGAAAAGGATTACAAGTTTCCAGTGAGTTAACATCACACCCTGATCACATAGGAGGTGTGGGGAGGGGTCCTGGTTATGCAACTGTGGAGTCACACATTATGGACTGGGACAGACTCACTGGTCACATTAACATATGGTTCAGCTGCACTAAAGCAGGTCACCAAAAGGTCATGGTGTGGGTCACGCAGAGAATATCTGGCACAGTCAGGGTTATTCAATAAAAATGTTCTGTACAAGTTTTTGAATTTAAATTTTTGTGGATGCAGTTTGTTTATATGTACACCTTTTCACTTTGGCATTAAGCACACAAGAATAAAAAAATTATTTCTAATTTATAATGCAATCCATGTGCAAATGAATCAACTGGATTTACTACTATGATGACTAGATAAGCCTTTCAACGGCTGTAAGAGGGCTGCAAGAGAGATCACAAATAAACAGAAATATTTCCAAAAAAAAGCAAACTCCTCAGTGGTTAGAGTGCTTGTTCATACTTCCGAAGGTTGGTGGTACAAGCGAGAGCATACTGTTGTCTTTTAGGACCTTACCTTGCCTCCAGTATGTAAATGTACATGTCACATGTAAGTATGTAAGTAAGTTGTTTTTTTTATTTATGTAGTGCTTTTTCACAGACATGCCTGTCTTTGGGGCAGACTGACTGAAGTGCAGCTGCCATGCCAATCGGCACCATCAGCCCCTCTGACGATCACCATCACTCAGGCACACACCACTTTCTTACTAGGCAATGTGGGTGAAGTGCCTTGCCTAAGGACACAATGACAATTTTTGTGACTTGCGCACCACTGTGGCACTTGATTGTTCCAGTGGTCTCCCATCCAAGTACTAACCAGGCCCAGCCTTGCTTAGCTTCTGAGATCTGACGGGATGAGGCTTTGACAAGCAGGTATGTTCATGAACATGCATTGTCTCGACTTAAAGATCCTTTATTACGCAAATTTTACTTGGGAGCTTTAATCCATGTTAGAGTGTTGTTACCTTCTCAAAAACATACCTGAAGCTGTGCTTTGTTTCATTCACTCATGAGTAATCTTTATTATTGTCTATCTACATCCCCAGTGCTCAAAATGCTCTGTTCCACCTTGTGATGTCATGGCGTGGTAATTTCCATGTTAACAGTTACCTTTTCACTTTTAGTTCAGTAGAAATAGGCAATTATCCAAACGATTCTAGTGAAGATATATGAAGTACATCCTATATTACCACATGACATCACAAGGTGGAACAGAGCATTTTCAGTTTGAGAGAAGAACTTGAAACAAACAAAAAAAAGTAATAATACCTTGTCCATTAGAGTAGTAGATCCACTTCTCCCTGGTCTTAGTGGGGGGACCGTGGGTTTTCTTGTGGATGGCTTTCTCCATGATGCTGCTGGGGTCTTGCATGGGGCCCTTCTTTAGCACTCGTGAGCTCCTCTTTACACTGCACCCTACAATCACCACCAGCACCAACAACAGCAGCAGAACAATCATCCAAGGCAGGTGTTCATTAATGTCAAAGTGCTCAGTGCTGCTAGGCCTCGGGGACCCTCTGCGAGTGGGACGGTACGAGCCAGAGACCCCCCCAGGCACCTTGTTGATATTTCCTCCGATTTTTACAGTGTCTATGCTCTCCAGAACTTCCATGCTCTTTCTGTTGGGACCAGGGAGAGACTCAGAGTTCTTTTGGCCCAGTTGGTGCTCTAGATGGGGGGATAGAGGAGCCTGGGTGGGGTCCTGGTTTGGGACACTGGAAGTAGAAGTGTGGTCCAAAAGTTGTGCGTTTTGGAGTTGTGCGTTCATGGTTCTCCTCAGTTGGATGTTGGCTGAATGATGGTGGAAACCTGTGGACAATAGAAACATAAGAAGCTTAAATTAAGGCAAGGCTAGGGTGACCAGATTTTCAATATTAAAAACTGGGACACCCCTGGTTTGTGGAATCTGATAATTATAAAATTGTGAAAAAGAGTGCGTAATTAAGGAAAATTGTTACTGTAGGAGGACAAAGTAAGTACAGAGCAGTGGCCTTATACTGATGACAGTGAAAACAGGAGTTGATGTGCAAAATGGAGACATAAGCGTTTAAAGATTGCTCAATCATGCACAAATCACTCCAAATACAAGTTTGGGTTAGTAAATGGTGAGAGGAAACAACTATATGCATAACAGGCCTGCTTTAAATCAAGTTAACCTATATATGACCCCAGTGTGAATGAAAGACACATGTTTTCCTGTCACATGTGTCTGAAAATTGTGACAACAGTGAAAGCACTCTGTTGTTTTTGTAACACTAAAATTTACCATTGTTCTGTTCCTAGAGCGTGCACTTTGTACAATACATTCATTGTCTGTAGAATGCCAAGATTCACAAAGCATGTGATGGGATTGCAGTGGGACTTTTGTGGCAGTTTTGTGGCAGTTACAAACTACAAGCAGATATTTCTGGAAATGGGACAGTTACTATAGGAATAATCAATACAAGTGTGTCATATAAGAATGCACTGATGACATTTTATCTGAGTTGACATTATTGGGATTGCTGTACTGAGTCTGAATATAACTCAACTGTTGCTTTAGCTGGTGCTGGACAGTAATCCCTTTTATCCTACTCTCACACACAGAGATTGACAACTAATCCCAAATTAACATCAATCAGCCGTATAAACTAGCAAAACAACTCTCCCTGATACCTGTAATAATTACCACAATCAAGTAAACAAATACACACTGCTCATTCAGAATATAGTTAGATAGAAGTAAAATAATTGTGAAATAGCAGTTTGAAATAGTGTCCCACATGACCCACATAGCAAATATCAACACTGGAAACATATATTGATTTGGTATTTGTTGCTGTTGCTGGAATAAAAGGCAGAAAATCCAAATATATATATATATATATATATATATATATATATATATATACTCTACAAAATTGAGTTTCGAGCTTTAAACCATGTTATAATATTGTTATCTCCTAAAAAAAACATACCTGAAGTTGTGTTTTGTTTTATCCACACATGTCTGAGTAATCCTGATTTATTAGTCTGTCTTTCCAAAGCTCAGACTGTTTAGTTCCAGCTTGTGATGTCATGAAGCAGTAGTTTTCAATTTAACAGCTACCACTAATTTTTTGTTCAGTAAAGAATGGCAATTCCAGGGGTGATTGTAGTGAAGGTATGGAGTTTAAAAACATAGTGAAGCATTTCCTTCCAGAAAATATTGTACTATGGGCCCTTTAAGACTGCACATGGACAGTTCAGATATTACACTGAACACAAAACTTAAGTGCAAAGTCTATTTGAAGTCTGAAAATGTTTAGTTAAAAGTGATGGATTCACAATAGCAATGACAGCAATAATATCACTTGGAATATGTTAAAACCACTTTATAACTGTTAAAGAGAGAGAACAACACTAAAAAACAACAGCTATTTGACAGTTTCATTTCTCTATTCAAATAACACTGCTTGGACTCCACACCAGTTGTCTGCCTTACAACATTAATTGGGACATATTACAATCTGTCTTTAATGCAGTGTCCATACAGTATCTAATCTCATATTATATATAAAAAAAAGGGCTGTATGTGTCTATCTTCAACTGAAAAGGACATATAGTTAAATGTTTATTTAATCATGCTGGACTATGTTGATTAGAGCAGATTCCTCATTTGGTTGTCCTGTTGCTAGGGTAGGTGATGTAATGCAGTCTCTTTACATTGAACAAAACGCTTTCAGGCAGGTCATGGTAAATAATGCTAGTCTCTATAGCTCTGTTTTTGTGCTGGTAAGTGGTTAAATAATGCAGTAAACTACCAGTTATAACCCCACCATGTGTCTACTCTCCAATTTTTAAACAATGGCTTACCCAGACGAGCCATCAGTTCTAATGTTAACAGGGCTATAAGGATATTGTTCTGAGAAATGAAAGGATATTGGATTGGACAAAATAACTCCATCCTATGACAGTGGAGGGAGATGAATGGCTCAATATACAGGGACAGAAATAGCAATAGCTCTGCTCCAGTGGCTTTTAGTTTCCATAGGGACACACAGGCTTTCTTTAAACAAACCCTAACCAGAGCTATATATGGTCATTGTTGTGGTATTGTTTTGACATTAACTTATTTATGAATTTTCTGCTTGGGGTTGCAAAAGTGCTTAATAAAAGTTTGTTTATTTTTGTAAAAGAGTACATTTAGTGTTTTTTTCTATTTTTAGATAGATATACTTACTTTCTCCTAATGTGATTTGAAAAACAGGTGCTCCGGCTTTAAGTGAATAAATGAATTTGTATAATTAAAGATCACCCACCTCTGTTTCCATGTTCTGCTATAGATTTGTGAGAGGAGGTGGTCCTATAGGCTTGGATATGACCAGACGGTTCTGAAGGAAGAGAAGAGGAGCTGGGGGAGTCCTGCTCTGGTCCAGGGGCAGAGGCTGTGGTTTTGTTGGGTGGGGGTGTGGGATGTGTGTGGGGTGCACGTGTGGTTGTGGAGGATGCCCCAGTGGAAGTATGTGCAGAGGGCAGTCCACAGACATTATCAGTCTCTCTGGTCCCAGGTACGAGCAGCACGAGCCCCTGAGATGGACAGTCCTGGTGAGTCCTGCATTTTGCTGAGCTGGACTCCACATCAGAGAAAGTGCCTTTGCTGCAGGCTTTACACAGCACGTCCTCTGTGTCAGTGCCCCTCTTCTTCACTCTGGTCCCAGGGGGGCAGAGGGAGTGGGGTGTGCACCTGCCCTGTGACATGAAAGCCCCAGCGGGACAGGTGCAGACGCGGTCCTGGGTGGCTGTACAGGGCATCTTCTCCACTAGGCTGTGTGGACAGGGCTCTCTGCAGCGGTGGCACTGTTGTACCCCATTCTCCCCACGGGTGTAGGTTTCCTGTGGGCAGGGGGCGCACTCGCGCTCAGTGTTGGTGGAGCAGTGGGCTGACACATAGGTCCCGGCTGGGCACTTGTCACAGGCCAGCTGGGCTCCCGAGGAGGCGTCTGTGTGCTGGTACTTACGAGAGGACAGGACAGGGGGGTCTTCAGGGGGGCCCAAGACCCGCGCTGACACCACCGCTGAGCACAGGAGCTGCAATGACAAAGACAAGAACGCTTGAACAAGACACTCAAAAGTAAACTATTCCAAACAGGAAATTAATGTTTTAATTAAATAAAAATATTTTTCTGGCATGCTTCCCACATCTCGAATGCAGTTATTCCCACAAGGATTCACCAAGTCCTCTCCCTCAGATTACTGAGTTACACAATAAAGAAGATCCAAATGGAAAATCCCCCAACATTAGTTTTGCTAATATGTGCTCATTTAAAACAGCCCAGAGGAGTGTGATGGGCAATGGCAGTCGTTCAGTGTATTTAACTAGCCCAACCATCACCGATTTTGTCAATCATCTTGCCCATGAGCACAAAGGCATTATGTGGTAGGACCTAAGTAACATGGGAAAATTAGGAAACACATCTATAGAAACATAGCCACTCCCAGCCAGCTGCAATAGTTACCAGTAACCTTTAGGCTTCAGTAAGAAAACATGACTAAAAATATCCGAGTGTGACTAAAGTGGAATGAGCACATGGATACCTCAGGCTGCTGTTAACACGTCTATAAAGCAACTCAGATAGTGACTCAGGGACGACCCCCAGTGAAGAGTGGGGCCTTCCCTGTCACCGATTCTAGGAATCTGCTGCTCATAGTCTGGGGGAACTGTAAGTCTTTAAACACAAATGAGTCATATGATGTGGAGGAGTACCAGACCGATCAGAACATTACAGCAAAGAATGTACAAGTATACTGTGTAAAGACTGTGAGGAAAAAGTTCAAAAAAGGGGTGGCGAACAGGGGGCAATGGAGAGGCTGAGGCGGCTGTTAGTTCTGCTGATGAGAAAAAGGCAAAGGAAGGTTTAGTCAGCCGATGATGAAGTTAGGAACAATTTACAAACATTTGGGCCTATTATCTTGTTTCACATATGAATTATAACCATCTCAAAACCAAATAGCATTCATTGTAAAACACTGGAACAACTAAGCACTATTCAAACAACTGGACAATAAAGCGGAAGTGACCATATATTTTTCTACCAATAAATTAACAGTGTTTACTCGGCCTCTGCTCTATTCTAAATTCAATATTGTGTCTTTGTTTGTATTCCCAGAACTTCATCCATAAACATTTGAGCATGTGGTGCGGATCTGTTCTACGTCACTCAAATAAAAGTTTCATTCATATGCGCAGAATGACACAGAGCTGTGAATAGGGGCTTTGTGTCAACTACAATTGGACCATCGTCTGGCAGTTTCAACAGTATAACAGTTATGATTCTTTGGGTACTTAGGAGTCTCGTGCAGTTCAGCTAACAGGTGAATAATCCTTGTCTGGTCATAGTTTAGTTCCTTATTTAGTCTGTGTAATGTTCTGGATTAGGCCCAGTTTAATGATTAGTGCAGATTTGGCCATGTACCCAGGTTGAGTCCAGTCTTCATCCAGAAAATGTTCTAAATAGGCTACTTCCCTGAGCCATTTACTCATGAGTTTGGACTTCTATATATGGATACAGTTTAGGCCAAAATCTAAGACTAGAATATTACAAATGGCATTAAACAGCTCTTACATTTATTCAATTACAGGTGGTTTTACTGCTCAAAAATACCTAGTAAAACAGGCATTCTGACTGTGAGTGGGGTTGCCTCACCACAGATCTGACCTGTAACTTGGTGTGGTTTGAGTTCCATAAAAATAGAAAAGTTTAATGCCATACAGTGAAACTTTCCAGACAAAGCAATAACATCTCCGTGAATAAAAGCATTTGATGGACCCTCCACCAGAAAAGTTAAGCAATTCTCCTTTAATTAATTCTATTTTTAACAAAATGTGTCTTTCTATAAACCCGATTGTCATCCCAAGCATTTATCATTGCAATCCAGGCCTCTAGTGTGATATTATAAGCTGTATATGTGAGATGATAATGTCCCTGATCTGCTTTTACCTTAGAGTCTATACTTACCTGAGAAAGACCCAGTCTGTCTGCTGCTAATGCTTCAGCTTCTGTGAAACTATAACAAAGCTAATTACCACTGCAGCAGATGCTCAGCTTTTGTATGAATTTCTGTTATACCAGTGCAGAAGATTTATTCATGCATCATTTCAAAGTATTCTCTTACACAAGGACAAATTGTGCATCTCAGCCCACTTCTCCATAAACACAAACACACAACCACCCATCTCCCTCATTACAGCGATCACTTTCTTGCATTAAGTCTCAGAATCACCATGGCGCTTATGGAAGTACTCAGACTGATCAGAGGAGCCCAAATCGATGCAGCGCCCTCTGTGCCAGCTCAGCTCTCTATGCCAAGTCATGCTGTGCCTGCTGCCCCCAGAGAATTACATGGGCTTTTAGTAGAGGACCAGAGCTGCTTGGCAAAGATGTGAGCCAATAAAAGATGTGAGCCACTGTTTATCATGCAGACATCTACAGTAACTCTCAAAAAATAAATGTGGATTTCAAAGTACAATCATTAATAGATTAAATTAAGCAACAGCAAAACTTACTTACTAAATGTTTAAATCAAGATTATTACTGCATGTGTAAAACAGGACTAGTCTTGCGCTAAACAATTTCTGTGATCAATTATTAAATTAGCTCTTATTGCAGGGGTACATTTTCCAGTGAATGTGTCACCATGTTTAAACCTGGCTAGTTTTGTGTATTACATTACTCATTGGGTTGTGAAATTCAGAAGAAATGCTGTTCCAAATGGCTGCTGCAGCCAGTAAAACAAAGCCAATAGTGCTGTTTGAGTCTGGATCTGCAGCACTTAGGAAATTGGGTATCGATGCAAAAGAGTGACACAGTCCCATTCCTCTCTGTGGTCTTTCTATTTGGAAGTATATCTATGTTTATCTCTAAAATATCTTCATATTATCTCTAAGTAGTGGATGAAGTACTCAGTTTTGTTACTCAAGTGCAGATACACAGGTAATAAATGACTTAAGTAAAAGTATCATAAGGAAAAAATCTATGTAAGTAAAAGTATTTAAGTACCCGTTTAAAAAGTATTTTCATGTAGTGATAAAAAATTATACATATTTTGGTCAGCAGTAGCAATACAAATAAATTTCTTAATTTTCTTATGAATTTTGTGTATTTATTTTTGTTTGCTCAAAGCTGAAGCTTGAACTCGAAACCTTTAATCAGGAAGTTACTACAAACATGTTAAAAATAACCCCTAAATTAATGTGAAAAGTACTTTATACTTTTCAGTCCAGTTAAAAAATGTAGTGGAGTAGAAAATGCAGATGCTTTCTCTTAAATGTAGTGAAGTACAGTAAAGGTAAAAAGTATCTACTACAGATGTAACAATATTCAAACCTCTTGGTGCGA